ATTTTCTTGTAGCTGCTTGAGTTTCTGATAGAAAGTCTATTAAGTATTTAATTCCTGTCTCAGTTGAGAATAAGAATCTCATATTTAATTGATTTAGATCATACTTCTCTTTCAATCTGGCTCTGAGACTATTGTATAATGCACAGTGCATTACAATATACTCAGAATTCTCATTTGTATTGCAGAATAAGCATTCTATTGAGTCAAATCTATCATCAAATCTTTGTATATAAGATTTGAAATAGCCATGTCCTAGTTTCAGCTGTATTATAGATGAGAATATTTTCTTTTTACATTTAATTGAACAAGATTTCCACTTGGATTTTGTTTCAAATCTTGAATAATGTATACTCTTCTTTTGTTTCTGCCAGCTTTCATTTCACTTGTCTAAACAAGATTCTTTTATTTTTCTCTTTATAAAAGACTAGGACACAATTTTTTGAATAGATCTGCTTAATTCTACACTCTTTTTTGCAGCTGAATCAGCCAATTCATTGCCATGAATATTCATATGAGCAGGAACTCAGTGCAGATGAATTATCAGCTTTGATGTTCTTCTCTTTTGAATTTTCAAAATAGAGTTTAAGATCAGTTCAAGATTCATTTGATCATTATAAATCTGACTATTTCTAAGTCTTTTTAAAGCAGCTTGACTATCAGAGAATATTCATGCCTCTTTCAAATAATTTCCTCTTTTATGAGATTTTATTTTAATGAGTTTGAAAGCTTTCACTATTGCAAATAGTTCAGCATCAAAGACTTCACATTCAGAGCCTAGATTTCAGAAATCTGAGATAAAATTGATATTATCTTCAGTATAAGCAATTCCAGCGCCTAATCTATTCAAGTTCTCATTTTTTGAGTCATCTGAATAAATCAGAATAGAGTCTTTTATATTGATTATAGAAATTCTCTTCAAATACTGTTCATATTCTTTCTCTTTTGATAGTTCACTCATTTATAAGTCTATAAGAGATTCAAGCTTTTCTCTTCAGAGAGATAACTTCTCATGATCAACTTTTTCAATATTTAAAGAAGAAAATTGATTTTTAATCAGAGAGCATAGTCTGTACAGTTGAGAAGGCATTTTCTTTGAAGAGTTATTTTCATTTCAATCAAGAAATCTATTCCAATCCAGTTCATTATCAGAGTTAATTAGTGAAAATGAAGAAGAGACTCTTTCTCTGATTATATGATTTAAGCTCATCTTTACAACTCTCAGAGCATAGTTCATACAGGCCTTTTCAAATCTAATAGCAGGAGGAGGAATTGAAGCTTCAATTTCCATTGCTTTAATAGGAGATGATTTGAATGCTCTCAGAATTCTTCTTAAGGCTCTGTTTTACAGACTTTGAAAGAGTTCAGTGAAATTCTCTTGATTATTTCATCAAACTTGAACTTCATAATCAGCTACTGATGTAATACAGGCTATATATAACTGTCTCATAGCCTGGAAGAATAGACCCCTCTCTGTATTTGATAGTCTGATTATGTTGTTTAATAGTCTTTCTGCCTTGACAGTTCTTTGTTGAATGTGATATTTAAAATTCAACTTGGAGTTTAATCATACTTCTAATCACTTGACATTTACACTGGGTTTAATCTCTCTATTTAAAAGAGTTAGAGATAGTCCTTTCTCATTGAATCTTAGAAAGAAGTGAATTAACTCAGTTTTATTCATATTAAATTGAATTTGATTAATATCTGCTCTAATAAAGATTTTCTTTGCAACTTCTTCAATTACTTTCAAATTCTCTTTAATAGTTTTTGAGCTGTAGACTAGATCAATATCATTCACATAACTTGAAGATCACACTATTCTCATATTTCTATTTTTAAATAGATATACAGTGTATATTGCAAATCAAATGAGTGAGATTGAAGATCTCTGTGATACTCCTATTTTTATCTCAGTCTTGTCTTGTTTCATTCCATCAAAGAAGAGTTGTATACTTCTTTTAGATATAAAACAGTTAACTCATTTTATTAGAGAAAGTGACAGTTTTAATATCTTCAATATCTGAATTAACTTTGACTTTGAAACATGATCAAATGCTTCTTTTATATCAATGAAAACTGCAGTTGAGATCAGACTCTCATGCTTTGCTATTTGAATATCATGAACAACTGAGAGAACAGTGTCAATTGCAGAACACTGTTTTCTATCTCTCATTTATTCACTGAATAAAAGAGAATCATCTATAGAGCTTATAAAAGATAGTTGAGTAGCTATTATCTTTTCTAAAACCTTTCCTAGACAGTTCAATAGAGATATTACTCTATATGACTTAGGAATTGAAGTTTTTCTATTAGGTTTTGCAAGAATCACTTCAGTGGCTTCTCTCCAGCATTCAGAATGATATTCATTTTTCAAAAGATTGAAAAAGAGCTCAAAATATTCATTCTTTAAGTAGGAATATGTATTCTGAATAATCAAGTAATTAATTGAATCAGAACCTGCAGCAGTTTTAACACAACTTGAGAAGATAGCTGACTCTAATTCATCTTGTGTAAGATCAGGCCATTTTCAGTCATTTTCATCAATGTAGTTGAGAAGTGATATATTCTCTTCCTCTGAATCTGAATCTGAATCTGGTGAGTTCTGAAAGAGAATTCTCATGAAAGCTTGACATTTTTTCTCAAAAGAGTTTACTGTATATAATTCATTCTGAAACTCATATTCTAAGGCTGGAAGTTTTGCTAGACTTCTTGTTTTAGTATAGTTAAAAGCTTTAAAAACTTCCTTTTCTTGTGTTTCTTCAAGAAATTTATTCCAGCAGTCTGTTTTAGCTCTTTTAATATCTGAAAAATATTCATTTCTGACAGCTTTGAACTCTTCATTAGATATTACATCATTCTTTCAATCTCTTCTAGCAGTAGCTAATTCTTTTCTTTTAGATGAGATATTCTCATTTCATCAAGGTTTTGAATACTCAGAAGATTTTCTCTTTGAGATATTATCTCTAACACTTGTTAGAATAATAGATGTAATAAGCTTCACTCTATTCTCAAGCATTTCATTTGAGATATCTTGACCAGAATTTCAATATAGCTCATTCTGTCTTTCAGATTTTAACAGTTTTATACTTTCTTCAACTGCTTTTTAATCAGCTTTTTCAAAGTTATACTGATTAGAGAGAAGAGGATTTTCACTCATTTATTTTTCACTCAGTTCAATATCAAATTGAATAATCTCATGATCTGATCCTGATGTCTCATTTGAATCAATAAACCAGTTTACAAGTCTTCTTTTCATTAGATTTTGTGACATGAAGATTAGATCTATAATAGACTTCTGTTTCATGTCTTTTCTAAAGAATGTTTGTTGATCAGACTTATTAATCAAATCTATTGAATGCTCAAAGGTTCATTTAACTGGATTATCAGCTCTCACTGCTCTCTTGCATTCTGAATTCTATTAGAGATGATGTGCATTGAAGTCTCCTGCAATTATAGAGTTTCTTGATAAAGTTATGTTCAGAAATCCTCTATCAATTGTCCAGATATTGTTATATTCCTTCAATGACTTTTCATTATAGATATTTATGAGCTGTATAGTATCAAACTCATTTTCTTTATCTATAATGTCACTCACCAGAATATCAGGGTCAGACATAATATCAAATCTTAGATTAAATTAATATCTTGATCTCTTTCTTTCATAGATCACTACTCTTGACTTTATCTCAGACTTTTGAGGTAAAAAGCAGTAGTAGCTTGAATAAGAAATGACATATTTTTGCTCAGCATCAAAATTCAGCTCCTGAAGCAGTATAAAATTAACTTTTTATTCAAATATAATTTGAAGACAAGAATAAATACAATTTGAGTTTCTATCCACATTATTTTGAATAAATGTGATTTTTGAAGAGTTTTTAAACTTTTTTTATTATTTTTGTTGTATATTCATACTCAAAGAGAGTAGAGTAGAATCTAATCACTATCATCAGATAGTAGATTATAACTGTTCTGAAAAGTAGAAATCTCAACTGCTTGTATTATATCTAGTTTATTACCAGAGTCATTTCTCAATTCTCTAATCTTAACAGAAGTTTGAGAATTCAAATTCTGTTTACATTTAGCTGGAGAATTGAAGTTTGAAGACTTAGACAGTTGAGAGTTGCTTCTTTTTAAGCTTGCAGTTGTGAGTTTACTGACTTAACTATTCTCTTCAGTTCTAGATTTACTCTGAGCTTCATCTTTTCTTCAGTTCTTTTGAGTTCTTGAAGCAAACATACATTCTTTTGAGCTAGATGCATGTTTTTCTTTGCAATTAGAGCATTTAAAGCAGAGTGTGTTGACATATTTCATCTCTTTTTTGAGCATGTTTCACATTTATGCTCACTAGTTTTATAATCTCTGGCACA